AAAAAAAATTCTGTAAGTCATTTAACAGATGAGTGTCCTATAATTACCAAGACTTTCCTGTTTCCGAACTACTACATTATAATTATTGTTATTATGTTTTTAGTACTAATGCTTCTGGTTTGCTCAAAAATCTGTTTCGTTAAAAAAAAGACATTACGGAACAAGAAGTTTTAATGAAAAAATTTAAACGATCATTTTTAATAGAACAAGTTATAAAGATTCCAATATCGTTCATTTACTTGCCCACTCCTGTAAATATTAATTACATATGAAATTTTGGGTCAATATTAGGATTTTTCTTAATAGTTCAGATTCTTTCCGGACTTTTTCTTTCAATACACTATTGTCCAAATATTGATCTTGCATTTTCCAGGGTATCATATATTATAAAAGATGTCAAGTCAGGGTGGCTTATCCGCCTAGTTCACATAAACGGGGCTTCCTTTTACTTTATAGTTATGTACCTGCATATTTGGCGAAGAATGTTCTACTACTCATTCAAAATAGGTATGGTTTGATATGTTGGAAGGTTAATTCTTTTCTTATCTATGGCAACTGCTTTTCTTTGGTTATGTTCTTTCATGAGGACAGATATCGTTCTGAGGAGCTCTAGAGTAATTACAAATCATCTCTCTGCAATCCCCTACATTGGACAATACGTTGTTGAATGAGTATGAGGTGGGTTTTCTATTAATAACTCTACTCTTAATCGATTCTTTTCTCTTCACTTTATCTTGCCGTTAATTATTATAATTATAGTATTTGTTCACCTAATTGTACTACACTTTACTGGATCTTCAAATCCAGTAGTTTCTAAAATAAATATTTACAAAGTAGTCCTTTTACGCGTACTTTATAGTTAAGGATCTTGTAACTATTATATTTGTGATAGTTATTTTCATAATAGTTAATCTCCAAAATCCGTATATACTAAGAGATCCGGACAATTTTAAAATAGCAAATCCAATAGTAACTCCTTCCCATATTAAGCCTGAATGATACTTCCTTTTTGCATACTCGATTCTTCGCTCTATTCCAAATAAATTGGGAGGAGTAATTATGCTATTCATATCGATTTTTATTTTGTTCTTAATTCCCTTATTAAATATAAGTAAAATAAAAAGAGTTAAGTTCTATCCAATGAACTATTATCTTTATTGACTGTTTATTAATACTTCTTTTATATTAACTTGACTTGGTAGCCAACCTATTGAATACCCTTATACAAGCATAAATAATATTTTTACATTTATATATTTCTTTTATTATATTTTCTCATTTATTTTAAACAATATGTTTGATAAAATTATGCTGAAAGAATCCTAATTAATGAACTTTAAATAAGTATATGTTTTGAACACATACCACAGAAATAAAATTTTCTATTAATTTATATTACATATTAATTATTATATTTATTTCTTTAACTAAATACAAGTAAATTATGTAATATAGTATAATAACTAGCATCTCTAGTCAGCACGTATATATCAAGTGATCGTATCGAACTCGTGCTAAAACTCCACGAATCAATTACTAAAACTGTTAATGTAAGCAAGTTGAGTATAACAAATGTATTTGTCCAAACTTTGATACCGAAAAATATTGTAACTGAAATAGTCCTAATAAAAAGTAAATTTATATATTCTGAGAGAAAAATTATGGTAAATAATCCTCTGAAGTATTCGATATTAAATCCAGATACTAGTTCAGATTCTCCCTCAATTAAATAAA